CTTCTAGCCCTTCCTGGCCTGAGCCAGTGTTTATGGTCAGTGTATGGTTACAGTGTGTGGACTGGTGACAGAGCGCAGGCCCGCTTCTGAAGGCTCAGGTTGAGCTTTAAAGACATGGCGTTGGCAACAAGGGGCGACTGCCGTCACGATGCGGAGAGAAAAAGAAAGCATCGAATGTGTGCGGTGACTACATCACTTACAAACCGTACTGTATATGCTAACATGCCTCATTAGAAAACATGTCAGCTACAGGAGCATGATTAATCATGGTTTAGAGAAGCAGATTGTTGAGGGTTTTTTTCTTTTTAGACACTAAAGGATATCCTGTTGTAGAGACCTGGTATAGTTCAAACTCAACCGCCAGAGACTACAGAAGTACATTCTTTTGACCAGTAGCTGTTGACGAATTACTGGCTTATTTCATCCTGGCATCTATATATTTCTCAATCATCGATAGAGCTGTTTGTCGTGCAGCATTTCGGTGAAGTGATCCAGGAGGCTTTTATTGCCAAAGTTGAGGCAATACAAATTTGGCAGAAAGTACAAACTTTTGTGTTGTTTATTATTGTAGTTTTAAGCCGTCTTGGCTTGAAGATATAGTAGAAAATACTGTGCAAATCTAGACTAAAAACTAGAAAATCTGAAAATGTTACCCTAAAAATTAGAGTAACAAAGAAAATAAAGATGGTTTGATATTTGTGAGCCTAAAAATCAGAGTAACAACAAAAATAAAGATGGTTTGATATTTGTGAGAAGGTATGCAGAGAAGAGAAGGGAATGTGGAATAAACAAAAAAGAGTACATAAAAATACACATGTTAAATGAAAAATATGATGTTAGTGTAAATGTTACAGATTTTTCCTGTACGTAAAGGCTGTTAAAACGGCTAATCTCAAGGCTTAAAGTGTAGCTGTTAAAAAAAAAAGAAAAAAAGTAGGACGTCTGAGTAACACCCCCAGTGTGTCCTGCAGGGTGTGATGAACATGTCTGAGTGTGTCCAAACCACAAAGTAAGAAAAACAAACCTTGAAGATTTTCCTGTTTCCTACAAGGCCTCAGAGGCCGGAGCCATGTTTACCTGGGACATGAATGACGAGACCATAGAGAGAAGAAGCCAGGAGGGAAATTTGTGCAAATTTAACCCTGCCTGTGTGTGTCTATGAATTATGCATATAATGGCCACATAGAGAAGAAATGCAAATACATATGGAGGGTCGGCCAATACAGTAAGGCAGAGGATGATCAGCTGGTAACAGTTTCTGCTCAGAGCAGCTTCAGGCCGTTTTTACTTTATAGTCGATGCTGTCATTTGAACTAAGTACTGTTTTTTGTCATAGATGTATCTTGTCCCCTCTTCTTTAAAGGTCAACACAGACCATAAACAGCTCTCACATACACTGGATTATCATGTGTCATAGAGTGATATTGTCAGTTAACAAATACTGGTTTCTAACTGCCATCTTGTTTACACTAGTAACAATATTTTAAACCTTTACTGTATATGGCTTTACTATGTTCCATCAGTTGGACGGTGAAATTATTTTTAACACAATGTATTGCATGGTACATCCAATAATTCCACCTTCCATCCATCCACAGTAGATACACCTGTGGTCATTTAGCCTGAGTGGCCCAGTGTGTAGAATATTCACATCCAAACAGTTGACACAAGGTCAGTACTGTGACCTTCGACTGACCTGTCCTTCCCCAACCGTGTGGGTGTCAATGATGGTGACCACGCCGGGGTTGTGCGGGCTGCGGCGGCTCGTGCTGTGAGCCGCGCTCTCCTCGTCTGGAGTGACTGCTGGCAGCGTGCCCGCCAACTGGGTGACGACTTTACCCACCATGGTCAGACCTGTCTTTAAAGTCTGAAAGAAAAAAAAGCAGAAACAAAATTAACAAAGTTAACACGGATATTTACAACATATGATGAGAAAAAATTCAAACAGCATTTTAATTTCTTTTGTGCTGCTGTTGGCCGATTGTGGGGAAGCAAAAAAAAAAAAGGGCTTTAGAATAGTATGTATACGAGACTCTTTGTACCCGGGCCACGTTCACTCGATGCTCTCTGATAGTGTGTAGTGCAGACGATTCGTAGCACTGCAGCCACACAAAGTGTGTGTTTATCTAAGTGTGTGTGTGTGCACGCGTGGCTCCTCTGTGTCCGTTTAAGGCCCAGCCAGGGTGTCTGGCTCAAACACACCTCTGTGGCTCGATTAAGGGAAATGGATAGTGCTGCTTAAGTGGAGTCTATCTCACCTACTACACTGTCTTTTGCTAATGGAGTCCAACGTGTGTGACTGCTGTGTCTCTGTGTGTGTGAGCGCCAAAGGGGCCCCGGAGAGCCTAATCAGGCATTCAGACTAGGCGGCCCTGTCAATAGAGTGTGGCGCCTCACGTTTGTTGGGTCTGAGGATCACCCACTGTCTCTCTTCGCCACTTGGTCAGGCACGCTAACAGTGTCTGCTGCCTGCGTGTGTGTGTGTGTGTGTATGTGTAAGATTGCACACGAGCCATAAATTATTAAGTGGAGCGTTTGGCTCCTAATTGATCAACACTAATGTGTTTTCTAATCACTGCAGTTGTGGAGTTCTTAGTGGTAGTCCAAACAGGGGCTATTGATCCGCCAATGGAGAGAGAGAGAGGGAGGGAGGGAGAGGGAGAGGGAGCGAGAGAGGGTGTGGAGGAAGATCATGTCTAAAAAAACAAAAAAAAAAGCATGTACTCACACATACATACAATTCTCTCACACACAAATGACACGATGTCGCCATTCAGACAAATGACATCCTAATCCTTCCACAATCAAACAGGCAGCAGTAATTGGCAACAGGACTGATGTGATTTACAGCCAGCACAACAGTGACTTCAGTTGGCCGGAGCAGCTGCACTGTTTTCCTTTTCTTTTCTGGGTATAAACAAAAGCCATTACAATTTAATGCAACCCCCCCCTCTCTCCCCCTCCCCTTCTGTTTCCATGTCTCTGGACGTCAGCACTAAGAGCCAGCGTGTCGCGCCACAAGCCAGAAGGAGATATCTTGTCATCCATATTGAGATATATGGTCTTAAATGAGGAGAGGGCAGGCGAGCAGACTGTCTGTCTGCATATCAATGCCCCCCGCCACCGTCTACCCCTTACCATGCTGCTTATCTATTAGTGTCATACTGGCCCTTTTTGATGCACAGCGCTATTAGCCTCCTAACAGGACTCCCCTCACACTACCTGTTAGCCTTCATTAGCTAAGGATGGGACACAGTGGGGGTTTTTGTAAATCAATTACCACCTCCTCCGGAACCAAATGACCGGAGAAAAAAAAAACAAACAAACACACACTTCTTAAAGACGTCTTTGCATCCCAGCTACACCTCACTGTAAATAAATGACATCTGGTACAAAAGAAAGGCTGTTTGTTGTTAGAGATCAATCCTAGAGATATTTCCCATGGAGATGAATAAAGAAAGACTGTTGGACTGAAAGGGATTACACAAACCAACAGATAGGCAGGTTGATGAAGTGTCTCATAAGCTCAGCAGCAGTTAGCAGGGCCGTCCAGGTAGATCCGATGTCAGTACTGTATGTGGTACAGATGGTGAAGGCAAAGCCCGAAATAATGTATCATGTGCCATTTCCAATAGAAAAAAAAACTGAACAATGGACAGAGAACATTCTGTTTGAAGGTCAACCGTTAACAACCGATGTAAATAATCCAACGTAATATATTCAAAGTATAGCTTATATTTATTAATGTTAATTACTAAAAAAATATGTTAGCGCTTCATACTATGTCAAACTGTATAGTATATTATAGTATTGTATCATCATCAACATTTTGGATTCAGCACGTTTGCAATTAATAAGTTGCAAACACATGACAACGCTTGTTTTTCCTTCAGTCCTAACACTGACCTGGCATCAAGAAAATATAACAGTTAATATAAAGTAGGTAAATGTGCATATATACTCTTTACACTGTGTTTTTGTCACTTACTTTGGCAGCGTTGATGACTGTCGCCGTGTAAGACTGTGCATTATCTCCACAAGCGCCGCCGCGAGACTGATGGCATCTTATTAGCTGCATTAAAACACAAATGGCAAAAAAATTTGCAAGACACACAGTTTGTGTTACAGAGGCCACATAAAGAGAGAAACGGGCGAGTTGTAAAAAAATGTGGGCAGGTTTTGAAGAGTTATTCTCCTCCAACTAATTGGGTTTTTCCTTCTTTTTTAAAAAAAGAAAAATGCACAAAGCCCAGCCAATCTGCAATGATTGGAATTTCCAGTGCACTACTGCTGCACAGGACCCATCTGTCCATTACCTGAGTGGGCCAGAACCAAGAAACTCATGCATTAAAAGTATTGCAAGTGCACAATGCTACAATCTGTTTGTGTGTATTTATACTTAACAATCCCATTAGGAAGACCAAAATACTGATATGAATCCGTTGGTTTTCAAAAATAATATCGTCATTTCTAGCGGACTCTTCTAGGATTATGTTTATCTACAGCGATTAAAGGGGCAGTAAATACACTTTATGTATTGTTCAAATGGTATTTCTCCGGAGAGTTTGTCACAATGAATGAGTCTGTGTGCTTTTTTTTTTTCAGCCTACCTTGTTCTCTGCGTAGGCCAGCCAGCGGCTGCCCAGAGATATTGGATTGAGGCTGGGGCCGGGGCAAGGATAGCAGCCTGAAATGATACAGATGTCCCGCTAATGATTACACAAGAAAAAAAAACAAAAAACATTCCTACTCCTGTTACTGAGGAAAACCATCAAAATTTCCGTAGAAAGAGATGTTTTAACATGTCTCCCGCTTGGAAAGTGACTAAATATCCCAAACCATTAATGTGTTTGTGGGAAGTCTCTTGTTTTTGCAAGATAAATCGGAAACTAATGAGGGTGACGTGTCTGTGCATGTGTGAGTGCAACATGAGCTAATGGAGACTGTCGCAGCCACTAAATTGAGGATGGCTCGGCTGCTAATTGACCAGCACAACAATCCCAGTGGGGACACAAACACAGATGTGCACAGTTTTACACGCAAGCACAACCAAAGGGGTGATGTTGGCCAAAATTAAAATAGCAACCAATAACACTTAGTGACAACCAGATTGCTGCGTTCACTAACAGATAAATGTTTTGAGCAGGAACGTTTCTCTTTCCCACTTCAACACATGTGGAAGTAAGCAGGAAGGAGACAAACACAAACACAAACGCAATCTACGACCAAACACGTCAACGCACACAGGCGGCAAAAACGCTGACCTGATACTGATCACATACGACTTTTACACACACACGCAACACAGCTAATGTGCGGACGTGCAGTGCTCTGGGAGCAGATGAGGTGGAGGACGGACAGTAATGTAGTGTGCTGTGTTAGAGGGTGGGGTGTGTGGGTGGTGGTGGTGGGGTATTGAGGTTAGCCACAAGGGTTGTTGGTAGCGCCAGAGAAGCGTTTTGTGCCTCTCCAAGGCCAAGGGGAGCCCGGGCGGTGAGATAACATATGTTTGACATCCTGAGGGTAGGACGGGGTGGAGCGAGGAGACGAAGCCCACGATGTGTGTGTAAAAAGAAATTAAAGAAGGTTCTGGATGGTTCTGAATGTTACTGGACACAAAATAAGGCAGTGAATTCACGTTAGGCCCACAACGTTTCTTGCTAACTACTTTGTTATTTTAATCATTTAAAACTCTTGTGTAGTACAAGGTTGCCCAAACACTGGGGCGTGGACCAGTAGCAGGCTGTGGATCACAATCAAGATCACACAAAAAAAGTTGTTGGGTTTTTTTTTTTCCTGCATTTAAGAAGAGAGCTGTGTTGAGACTAGAGTTTGAAAGATATGCATCACATATATATTTAATTTGTGTATAAGAGCCAGGAAAGTTGTGTTAGGCAGTATATGGAAGATTTCTTTATTAAAAAAAAAAGTTAAGTGATAGATTTGGATTTGAACAATAGAGGGGCGATAACTGCGCAGAGTAAAGCTTGTGAGAATTCCACAGAGCTAATATCCCACCGGTTGCAATTTAAGTATAATTTCAGCTCCACCAAAAAAACAATTGTTTCCTAACCATGATGAGTGGGTGTTGTTTCAGTGGAGCTGTATAAGTCTGTGGGACCACAACGCACACATACACACACACACAGAGAAGAAAGAACATTTTTTTTGCCACTAATGGGAAGTGAATTATTCAGTGCTCACAAATGAAACGCATCAAAAACCAACCTACATCCTAACCAATGACGTCAAAAGTCAACGTTGGACACATGGACCTCTGGTCCGACGCTGAGCCCTGCGCGCATCACAGAAGCCTTTGTTTACGGCTTTCAGGGCCCAAACAGAGCAAACGGCATTGTGAAGAGGAGGGCCCCCGGTATTCAACGACGATTAATAACTATTGAGCATGTTTGGTTTCCTGTGGCCCAGACACTGATATGGAAGCCAGACAGACAAAGAGGAGACACATTAAAGCCAGTCTGTTAGGTCAGTTTACTCCAGTCAATGACTTAAGTGGACAGCAATGGCCTTGTAATACAGTCTGGTCTTTATTTCGCAGCATCTTTCAGCAGGGATGGCAGGTAGAGCCGGGCCGCGGCCAAGTGCTGTGCTGTAAACAGTTTCCCCTGCGTTGAGCTTCAAATGGAGAGAGTCACATCATACGCTGATAAAAGCAGTGTAGTCACAACACAAAGCCACAAAGTGCTTGACTACAGCGGGCTTCGCGGTCCGCCTCGACTAGAACCAATGATCTGCTCTGCGTTTGTTTGGCTTGGGTGATGCCAACATGACAGAGTCACTGATCATGTTTGGCAATGTTAGTGTTAACTTATGTAACAGGCGCTGTTTGTTTGCACACGACTGCATACGATACGGAAACACTGGAGGTTGGTCCCGTCCTTTCACCATAACACACTTCCACTTGTAGTCCAGAAACATTTCATATTTGATGACAATGTAAAATAAATAACATTTTTGTGCATCTCAACCAAACGTTGCCTCAGGTCTTGGACCGTAGAAACAAGTCGTGTGGTAGAAAGTCATTCAAGTATTTGATGAGTTCTCCAGCGATCGTTCTTTTGCAAAATGTAACTGTAAATAAAATTAATAAAGACAAAGTGATGTGGTGGTTCAGAAAAAACGATGGGAGCTACATACCTGATGGAAGGATGAAACATTAAAGGTACTTTTAAGACCATTAAGAGATTATTTTAGGTTCTTCAGAACCAACACTCATTGCTTCGGATCCTTTGGGACACTGCTAAAAATAATCTATATTTCCAGTTCTAAATATGATTTATTTGTAGTGCTAGTGTTTCTCATCTTGAACTCTTAAACACTTACTTGTGACAAAGAATTTTTTGGTGAAAGTGCAGCTGTCAAATGCGGCGATCTTCTCCTGCAGACTTATAACCAGGATACTGAGAAGAGAAAACAAAAACAGTCAACTTCACACTGTAAATATAAAAGAAAATGATTAAAAATATATGCATTTCATCTTGTGGGTCTGTCCCACATACTGTTTGTTGCAGTGCAGATCGTAGATCGGTGTCTTGAACTGAATCGATTTAACCATTTCACCCGTCCGTAAAGAATACAGGTCGACACAGCTGTAGGGAGGGCTGGTCCTGAAATAGGCACAAAAGAACAGCAGATAGTTCAAAATTCCCATGAAACCTAAGCTGCAGAAAACAATTAAAAAATAATGAAAATGATCCAGAAAAAAATATGAATGAATATTTAAAAAGCTAAAACTATAGTTCTGTAAAAGAAAACAAAGACACTGACAAATGAGGTTGATTTTTTAAAATTTTTCACATTTTCTTTCTGCCGTTAAAACTCAGGAGGATCAGCTCGTACAGTATTTCTTATTATAAAGTGAGAGAAATGTGTGTGTCTGTGTGTGTGGAGGATTTGGGGAGGGGGTAAAGGGCAACAGGGGAAATGCTTTGTCATGCAACACATTTAGGAGAAGCCTTTCTATCAACATGGAAAAAGAAAACGAGGGCTACATGAGACAGGCAGCGGCTGGTGGCAGAGGGAAATCTAGACATAAATCTTCATCAACGACGACTCTCCCACTGCCTCCACCTCCACCACCAGCCATCCCCTGTGCCCCTTCCTTCTGTCTGCAAGGAAATCATCTACTGGTCTTCTACTCTGTCAATGTGAGGCCTATGGTGCCGCCGTGGCTGAGGAAGCTGGGGTGAAATATGGTGTTAGTTTTGTTCCTTGATCCACGAGACTCGACTGCTTTCATCAGACTCTGGTCAGTTTTTACAAACTGAATAGGCCTCTAAGCCTTTAAATAATTAAGAAACAGTTCAGTGTGTGAGAAGAGAGAAAAAAACACAAACAAAGGCCTGCATTGGTTATTGCAAAGGGACATGATGTGAGGTCAGGAGGGGAGGTTAGGATGATCTGACAAGTTGATCAATGAGGAACCCCCCCTTCCTGCAGCCTACAGTGCAGTGCACAACACCATTAGGAAATAACAAGTTTAAACAGTGAACAGCTATAGCAGAGTCCCAGAGGGAAATCTGGACATTATTCAGATGACGAGCTCATAATGGGGAGACTTTCATCCATTACAAGATACAGATGACCTCAGCCACGTTGACTATTCCTGCAGAACACCCTGTTCCACCAACTCTGCTGTGTCAGTGTCTGTCTTTCTTCCCGCTCATTAGTGTCACTCCTTTCCCTCTTTTATTATGGGAAAAAAATCTGTTACCACCATTGAAAGTCCCTGCTAAAAAGACGAGCGCGCTCTGCGATGGGACCAACACAACACATCTGTATCAGACTATAAAATAGCAGGAGATTTTAAGAGACCAAAAACTGAAAGCCCTTAACGATAAAATGAAATTTTAAAAGTGTTGTTCCTGTGGTGTTTGGGTCACAGTCAACTACAGCTTTTAATTTGTTCCAGGAACTAATTTATTCCAAAACATTAGACATCTCAAAAAGAGACTAAAAGTCTGCCGCAGTCGGTTAAACTCAGTGAAGGTCAGATAGAAAACATTCTTCACTGCAAACCAGTGGTTAGTATCGGTCAAAATGTAAAAACTCTTGGTTTGTCACTGCTTCTGGGGGGAATATAATTTAGAAATGAGAGAAAATATAAGTAATTTGTAATGTGTCAATTAAAGTATAACACTATATACTCAATAATTCCACTTATTGACATGTTATTTGAACACACAGCGGGAAACATTTTATTTTCAAAGAACTTCAAATACATATTTTAATTCCTAAAATTTAATTGATTGAGATAGGTCTGTTTTTAACCTAAAAGGTTTTTGTTTTTTTCTTCTTCAGCGTACACTTTGTTCCATCCCTAATTGTGGTGTCCCTAACTGTGCAGTAACATCTCTATTCCAAAGAATTCAGGTGATATGAAGCAGCTCTTTGAAGTGGTTTCTTCAAAATGTATGAAAAGGACAACATTTTTGTTAAAGCTAAAATTTGCCATTGTCATCATAATAAAAATGTCCCTCGTAGCAGGCCAGTGAGAAAATCCCATGTCTGCAGTACGAGGCAGCAGCAGGTGGACTAAGTGTAAACTGTGTGTACGGATGTCAAAGAATCTCGTCCACTGATATGATACAGGACCATGACGCCGAGCAGTAGCTGACAACTCAGACACAAACAAGACTCGATCAGACAGTGATAAAGCCATCAACCGGTGCTGCACACACACGTTAGTTAGCATCATCTGACACACGATTCATTTCTTTAAATGCAGACAAAAGCCGGAGCACAGAGCCAGAGATACAAGATAAAATAAGTGCAACGATAACATCTTTAAAAAAAGAAAGAAAAAAAAACAGCTTAAAAAGAAGATAAACACTGGTGTTGTGCAGCCGTTTGTTTTACAGAACGCAGCTTGGACACAGACGACGTCTTAAGAGCTTAAAACCAAAGCCTGACAAATATCACATTGTTCCTGAGGGGGTCAGAGAGAGGGAGGGAGGGAGGAGGGAGACAGACAAGACACAGAGTGAGAGACACTCACATTTTCTACCCATCACATTGCATCCTGAGTGAAGAAGAAATATGAGGTGCCACGGGAAAAGGTCTAAACAATCCCTGATTCACGTCTCTGTCAACATTTTAAAGGTCCTTCCACCGCGAGCACGTTTACCATTACCAATCAAAAGCACTGGCATTAAGACAGGACAAAAATATCACTCGACAATAATTTACTTTCAGGCGGCTACATCATCGATTTCAGCATTATCAGAGTCCGATCAATCCAATTCGGTGCTCCATCCCCGAAAAATGGGCCTCTGGAAATTGATTCAAAGGGACAATGATAACCCATTATTATAGAATCAAAATGGCACAGGGTTCAATTGTTTTGCTTTTGCAGTATTTTAACAAATGACCCAGTTCTAATGGAGGCAACGTGGGGTCAGATGTAATAAGATTTCCTGATGCCGGGGACACTGGGGCGTAGGTTGAAAGCAAGGCTAAATCACAATTATCATTATGGATTATGGCGGGATGTCAGTCCTTGCACATGTTAAGGTGACGCCGGGCACCATTCCCCAACTCAGTAACAGGCCTATTATGATGGGCCTATTAGATCAAAGTGTCAATTACTATTACTCAAAGTGGCCCCTGGGTCTGAAGAGACACAAAACCAAAGGAGATGGAAGGAAAGAGGCTCGGCCTCATTAATTTTCTCTGATATAACAAGACTGTACTACAGGATGTAAGAAGAAGATGACAAGGGCTGGTGGACGGATACATTACTAAAAGATTTAAGATTTAAACAGAATTCGAACAAACTGGTACTGAAAATGAAAATAAATAAAACCTCCAATCAACTTTTGCACTTTCTCTACAACGGACGCCTTTTTGCCTCATTATTGATCCATTTTCAGTAAATTACACTTCCTTCTCCTTGAAACATGTCGGCATCTGTTCGTCCAATTTACACATCAGTTTTGTGTTTATTCAATCAAGTGTTCTCATCTGGATAAAAGAAGGTTTTGGGTTTTTTTTAATGAACTTGAACTGAACCAGGAGATCAAAACCACCCCATTTCATGTGGTCGCAGAAAGCATAAATGAGAAATAAAAGGCAGGCAAATGAATTCATTTACAAGGAAGGTACGTCACCCCATTTCCGACTGGTGCAAAGTTTTATAAGCTTTCCCAATGCGAACGACAATTACATGCTGTGGGAATGCTAAACAAATATAACCTCTGTTTCGGAAGTCAAGCCTGGCAGCACTGAGCTGAAGGAGAAAACCATTCTCCAGTTTGAGTGCACCAGTCTTCTGAGGAACGGTATTTCCACTGAGGTTGAACTGATACGTGTCTTTGAATAGGGAAACCACAGATTTAACATTAATGCTGCCAATATCCAGCTGTTCGTGCCAATATTTACCAAGTTCTGCCCCAAGCTGCCGACAATCACACGACCGTCTTTTCAACACTGCAGAACAGACGAGCATGGCACAAACATTTTTTTTTCCAGTATAACCCCAATTTGTATGCGAATATACGGGTCAAATTTTGATGTGGAAACAGATCATAACCACATATGATATAGTGACACTTCATGATAATACTAGCCTTTCAACAGATTTAAAAAAATGATTTATACAGAGTGGTTTTCGTGGTTCGGTTGTCAGAATTTTTGATTGGTAGCACCGAACTGTAACTCTTACCTTTTACTTATCGTCCCTATAACTGACACCACTGTACACTCTACAAACGAATTATTAATTTACACTTAATGAGGGCCCTCTTAATTACAATTACCTCTCAATAACCTCGGTGACACTGCAAATGATTTGCCTCTTTTGGCACCTCAAATGTAAAAAAAAAATCACATCGACTTCATTGACAAAAAGGGAGGCTGGAAGGCGAGTATAATTCTTTCCTTAGCCCCTCTTGTTATTTGTTTTGTTTAGCAGTCTCTCTCTCTCTTTCTCGTCATTTTAAGCCCAAACCCAGCGGTGCTACACAAACACTGGCCACATCAGAGTCTGCTGGGGAGCTGCATGGAGCCACGGTCGTTCTGGTAAGCTGCAGGCATTAGTAGGAAAATAATTAGGGTAAAAAGTTCATCCGCAGCACCAGGTCCGTGAAGCCGCCAGAAACGAAGTCCCTTCACTGTTAAACACTACACAAAGAAAAAAGTGGCAGGCATTTAGGAAAGTTAAAACAGTGTGTGTGTGTTGGAGAGAAAGTCAGTTTTCAGGCTTTCCTTTTCTTTTCTACTGTATTTTCATCTTGAACGTACAACAGAACATTCGGAGAGACATCATGTCTGAGGGTTTAATTTGTGTTCTACCACCTCCCTGAGCAAATATTTTTTAATTTGCATCTTCTTGTCATGGACGTCTACTGACAGTGAATTACCTCCTTGTCAGGTTCTGAGTATAACAACAGTTGCCTTGTGGATGCTAAGTGTGCCACAATGCCACAGGGAGTTTTGTCTGTGTAGTATTTGTATGAACTACGTCTTCACACAAATACGCTGAGACAGTGGTTAAAAAGACAAAGTATTAGGATTAGCAGTTAATTGAATAAGTTGAATCTTTAAATTACAAGTTCAATCAGTTAATTGAAGTTGAATAAGAAGTTGAATCTTTAAATTACAAGTTCAA